AGCTTGGGTACAGTGGAAAGAACGTGGGAATTAGTGACCTCAGTCCCAGGGCCCAGCCATAACATGTGCTGGCACTTTGACCTCACACAAGCCTCTGAATCCTTCTAACCCTAGTTTCCCCAACTGAAAAAAGGGGATGGTAGCACCTCCCTCTCTAGAATATAATGCACATCAAAGGAAATAGCATGTAAGAAAGTCCTTTGAAAATTACCTTTGCCATACAGCAGGGCATCTAGAAATAGGATGGGTAGAGTCCATGCTGTGAAAACTTTTAGCTCAGGATTTTGAGCAATTAGGTGCTCCCTAGCAAAATGAAGAGCAGGGCATGGAGAGCTTGGAGAAGGTTCACAAGAGAGCCACAGAGATGATTAAAGAGATGGAAAATCAAAACCATGCTCAGGAAAGGATAAAAGAACCGAGTTCATCCTGCTTGGAGAAGACAAGTCTACAGGGTAATTTAATCTTTGTTTACAAGCACACGCAGCCTGGTGTCCAGCTGTTCTTTCCAACTGACAGAAGAGAAGAAAGTATCGTGGACTCTCGCCACCGGCAGATTTGACATGTGAGGTTTCAGATCACTGTGCATGACTATGAAGGTTCATGACATGTCAAAGTTTGTATTTTTTTTCTAAGCCACAGATTCGAACCACAGGTGTGTGGAGGGACCCATCAGCTGTCAGTGACTGAGTCTTCCCAACCACTCAACATGGAATCTCAGTGGGAATGTGCTGTTCTCCAGTAATTGTCTTTCACACAGTAATTCTCTGAAATAGCAATAATAATTGGTACCTTTAAGTGTTTACTCTTAAACAAGCTGGGCGTGCTAAGAGCTTTATGGGCAGTATTTCATTTCATGGAGAAAGGAAATGAGGCATGACCATGCTCTTTAGATGCAACCTGCTTTAGTAAGCAACCTGCTCAGGTCACCCCGCTGGTACGCAGAGGAGCTCTAGGAGTTTGACCCAGGTCGAATGCGAAGCCCAAGTTCTTAAAAGCTGCAACAAACTTTCCTTTGTGAAAAATGGCTCCCAAAATAAAGTCACCAGCCAGTGCCCGTGAGAGCAATGAAAGCAAAGTGAAGAATTCAAATGGGGATGGTTCTTACCAGAAACCCAAAGTTTCATCAAATTTGGATGTAGATGATATTTTTGACACCAACTAGACTACCTCAGATGTTGACATTGCACTCACTATTGTATTAGCACATGGGCAGATTTTTCTAGATCTGCAGTCTTTATCCAGCCTTCCTGGTCTAATTCAAGTTGGACTCTGGTCACCTTCCTGCCAATGCTTGTCTAGGACACTCTCTCCCTTTCCCGCAGCCATCTGTACTTGCTGTCTACACAACGAGATTAACTCAGCATCACATATAATCCTTCTTTCTATTTGTATCATACCTTCCCATATTCTCACTGTTTTCCATAATCGTATTGCAGTACATTAATTTTCTGGGTAAATTCTTCGGTTCTTTTCCACAGAGCCTGAAATGAACCAGATGTGAGTGTGAGCCTGTGAGTTGGTGCTGACATAAGAAGAGACTTCTATATGATGCTGAGTTGTTACCCAAAGGGGTTAGAAGTAGACTCACTGGGAGTGGGAATTAAAAATCAGACCCAAGACCAATCAAGTCCAAGACCAGAAGCACAATACCCAGATTCAGTAAGTCAGAAGCCACCATCAGGAAATGAGGCAAAAAGCCAAGGAGAAGAATGGGGGTGGGTGAGAAAGAGTAATGAGATTCACAACGCAGTCCTCAACAAAACAAGCAGCCATGGCAAGGCTCGCTCATGCTGGGACACAGCAGTTTTGCCACTTTAGAAACACAGGACTGGGGCAGACTCTGTTTGGAAGGAGAAACCATGACACAAGCCAGGCCAGTGCAATATGGGCTCCTACCACACTGGTGAACACACAGCGCCTTGGAATCCCAGGGAGAGAGCCCTCGGAGGAGTCTTACTGGAGAAGGTGAGGCTTAGACTAAGTTTCGAAGGAGAGGGAAGTGAGAAACAGAAGGAAAAGAATTCTAGGAAGAGAAACAGTGCAGGCAAAGACCCCTACCATTTTCGTAAAGGGGTCAGGGAAGCCAAAGGCTATTATGCCAGAAGTTTTTTGAGATAGGGCTGAGATTCAGAAGACCAGGGCTAAAATCCCACACAAAGGAACAAAGGCGGGAGTAAGTTGAGTTTGATTAACCAACAGCCAAAGTCACCTGGCATCGGGGCAGATTCTGAGTGCCACAATGGGAAGCCCTGGCCCTAAGCGAGAGGGAGCCCCTGAAGAGAGGAATCCCAGGAATCACCAGGGGAGCCTGAGCACAGACGACTGCGAGGCAGACGCCGCCCAGCCACAGGCCAGAGCAGAGACCATACACAGGAGAGAAATTATAACAGTTATAATTATTATAAATCATAATATAAAGGTAATGTGATAAAAAAAAAAAAAAGAGAGAGAGACACAAAACAAAGGGACCTGGAAAGGGATTGCAAAGAGTAAATAAAAGTAAGAAGAGTCAACAAAGCCAGAAGTATTCCCTGAGCTCCTAGGTGAATCAGATACACCTGCTCCCGAGGGCAGAGCTCAGTGTCCTTTGTCTTCTGATTGGAGCAATGAGAGAACTTGGAAGAGAATTACAGGCGTTCCCAACCTAAAATTAGGCTGCCCCTGGACAAGCAATGGTTTGGCCAGTGGCTTGTGTGGTCATCTGCCTTCTTGGCCTGCTGCCTATGATATTAGAAATTATATTAATATCTTATTATATTACATATTCTATGTTGTATTATAATATATGCACATATTATACAGATATATAATATGGATTATATATACATATATACATATATGTATATATATTATATATACATATATCTACATATATACATATATGTATATAATCCACATTATATAATATGTAATATATAATATATACACACATATTATACAGAGTCACTATATTAATAGCATTAGAAATGATATTATCATTAGGTTATATAATTAAATTATCTAATTATTAAAATAGCAAGAGGAAAAGAGTATGGTTTCAGAACTCACATTTTAAAACCATAGGCCCATGGCCTGGCACAGTGGCTCACACCTGTAATCCTAGCACTCTGGGAGGCCGAGGCGGGCGGATTGCTCGAGGTCAGGAGTTCGAAACCAGCCTGAGCAAGAGCAAGACCCTGTCTCTATTATAAATAGAAAGAAACTAATTGGCCAACTAATATATATAGAAAAAATTAGCCGGGCATGGTGGCGCATGCCTGTAGTCCCAGCTACTCGGGAGGCTGAGGCAGGAGGACTGCTTGAGCCTCGGCCTAGCTCACAGTAACCTCAAACTCCTGGGCTCAAGCGATCCTTCTGCCTCAGCCTCCCGACTAGCTGGGACTACAGGCATGCGCCACCATGCCCGGCTAATTTTTTCTATTCTTTAGTAGAGAAAACTGCATGTAGTTTCAACCCAATCCCTGGAGTCCTCTTGAGCTACCGTGTTTCCCCGAAAATAAGACAGGGTCTTATATTTATTTTTCCTCAAGAAGACCCGCTAGGGCTTATTTTCAGAGGATGTGTTATTTTCCCCTCAAAGCCTCAGCTTGCAGCATGCACAGGATGGCTGGGACCTGACAGGGGGAGCCAACCTTGTTGGTGGGGCTGCCCACACATTTCCGGTCACCTCTGGGATAGTAGCTGTCATGATGGGGCAGATGAGAAGGGCTGCTCATCTTCTTTACCACTCCACGACAAAATGCATGGGTTGTGCAGATGCGCTGCGTAGCCACGCCCATCACTAGGTCTGATTTTCGGGGTAGGGCTTGTATTGCGCAAATGTTTAGAAATCCTGCTAGGGCTTATTTTATGGGTAGGTCTTATTTTCGGGGAAACACAGTATCAGGGGAAACACAGACGTACTGAGTCTCTCTGGAGCAAGCCGAGTTTCCCTTTTGCAGACTAATGTTTGATATGGGTGATCTGCAAACGTCAGGGAAGCTCTATAAAGAAACAAGCAGAGAACACAAAAAGTGCTTTGGAAAAATCTTACTGGCCACAGGGAGATTGGGTGACTTTAGAAGAAATGTATTTGCTTTTCCTGGCATAAAATACCTAAGGATCAAATGAGTGTGACAGACACATAGAAACACAGTTGACCCTTGAACAACACGAGGCTTAGGGCACTGATCTTCCACAGTCAAAAATCCACTTACAATTTTTGACGCCCCCAAAAACTTAACTACCAATAACCTATGGCTGACCAGAAGCCTCACTGATAACATAGTCAATTAACACATATTTGTATGTCATGTGTATTATATACTTTATTTTTACAATAAAGTAAGCTAGAGAAAAGAAAATGTTATTAAGACACTATAAGGAAGAAAGAATACATTTCCAGTACTGTATTTATCGACATCATAAGTTTACGTCATCTGTTTACAAGATGAACCGTCTGTCTGAAATGGGGGCAGCCGTAGCTGTAGACCTCCTTCTATGATCCATGTTAAGCAAGCCAACTTTTCCCTGTAATGTCATGGCTTTGCTTCTCAAGAGCACGTCCAGCATCACTAGTGGCACTCCAAATGGGCCCCATGGTGTTACTCAAGGTTTATGGTATTGCACCAAATGCAATGGAAAAATACGAGAGAACTTGGAGGGATCACTTTTTACTGCATTACAAAATTTATCGGAGTTGGCATCAGTGCGTTTTAGGCAGATACTCACACTTGAGCTAGCGGCAACAGCAACAGGAGGTGGCTACTAAATTATTACAATAGTAATAGTACAGTGTGTACTATACTTAATTTTATACAGTTATGATTTAGTACTGCATCTTTATGTTTGTTTACATTTCTCTCAACTGCAAATGGCACCATATATAGTCTGTAAGTTTGTGTGTATGTGTGTAAGTTTTGAAGAATTTTACCTTTTTATAACAGATTTGTGTATATTTTATGCTATTAAATGATAAAATAGTCTAGTATCTACATATATTTTATGCATTCGTAACATACCTAATTTTGTCTTATTTTTTGTCATTTCTAGGCAACAGCGTTCATCTTTGAGTTTTTTCAAATCATCTCAAGTCTTCAAAAAATTTTCAATATGTTTACTGAAAAAAAATTGCATATAAGTAGACCCATGCAGTTCAAATTTGTGTTGTTGAAGAGTACTGTACCTATTTTAGAAATGAGTTAAAAATAATAGCCAATAAACATATGAAATAATGCTCAACATCTCTAATCATCAGGGAAATGCAAATCAAAACCACAATGAGATATCATTTATCTCCAGTGAGAATTGCCTTTATTAACGAGTCCCAAAACAATAGATGTTGGTGTGGATGTGGAGAGATTGGAACACTCCTACACTGCTGGTAGGACTGCAAACTAGTTCAACCTCTGTGGAAAGCAATATGGAGATACCTTAAAGCGATACAGGTAGATCCACCATGTGATCCAGTAATCCCATTACCGGCATCTACCCAAAAGAACAAAAGACATTCTATAAAAAAGACAGCTGCACTAGAATGTTTATAGCAGCACAATTCACAATTGCAAAGATGTGGAAACAACCGAAGTGCCCATCAATACATGAGTGAATTAATAAAATGTGGTATATGTATACCATGGAGTACTATTCAGCTGTAAGAAACAACAGTGATATAGCACCTCTTGTATTTTCCTGGCTAGAGCTGGAACCCATTCTACTAAATGAAGTATCACAAGAATGGAAAAATAAGCACTACATGTACTCACCAGCAAATTGGTTTCACTAATCAACACCCAAGAGGCATGTAGGAATAACATTTATCAGGTATCGGGCAGGTGGGAGGGGGGAAGAGGGGATGGGTATATACATACATATTGAGTGAGATGTGCACCGTCTGGGGGTCACGCTTGAAGCTTTGACCTGAGGGCAAGGGCAATATAGGCAATCTTAACATTTGTACCCCCATAATATGCTGAAATAAAAAAAAATAAAATTTAAAAAAAAATAGAAATGAGTTAGAACATGATTAGGATTCCTTACTTACAACATACCTACTTCATTTCCTGATAATGAAAACACCATTTTCATTAAGTTGAATTCATTTGTTCAAATTTCAATGTGTTATAAAATGATTCTTGCCCCAAAGAGAGGAATTTAAAAGCCCATCTCCTCTCAGTTACATGAAAACCCAGGAAAAGGACCTAAGCAAACCACTGCTTACTGACACCTCTCATTGATCACTTAGAGACTACCTGCTACAAAATAATCCTGCCTCAAACTTCTGAGCTATTTCCTACTCCCATGAATATATGTAACATTGAGAAATACCAAAATATTTTAGCAGATTTAACAAAACCTAATTTAAAAGTTTAAATTCTTTTCTAAAAATTAGGTGCTCTCTTCCAATGCCAAATGGAAATCATTACTTAATGTCTATTCCTCTGATGACTCTCCACCAGTGTGTGTGGTCTAGAGCCCACCAGATTTCTCCCCCATTTTCAGCAGAACAGGTGACATCTTTACTCAATTTCCCCACAATCATCTCTACCCAGCAGGCCTAACACATTGCCCTTTTCCTTTAATTAATTCACACTTTTAAACACCATATTTAATCAAATACAAACCCTTTAGCATACCCTGCCTTCCTTGGAGATACTAAGGGCTCCATAAATTAGCTTTGAATCGCTGAATGGTACCCTGGACCCCTCTACCTCTCTAAGCTCATCTTCTTCTCTTGCCCTCTCATGCACTCCTCTTGGGCCACACTGGCCTCCTGTTTCTCAAACACACTTAGCAGAATTCCTGCCTCAGAGCCTTTGCACTTTCTGTTCCATTGGCCTCAATGCTCTTCTCTATGATAATACATACAATTCATTCCCTGAGCATCTTCAGGGCTGCTAGCATCTGACAATTTAACAGATAAGGTCTTTCCCACTAACCAGATTCAACACAGCATTCCCCAACCGGTCCACGTCCTTGCAGTACCTAACTGCCTTTCCTCTCTGTTGTTCTCCATGGCACTTACCCACGTCTAATATTTGCATATGTCACTGGTTCGTTTAGACAATTGGCAGACTCCTCCACATAGACTCCATGAGAGCAAGCATTTTGCATGTTCTATTTACTGTGATGTCCACAATACCTAGGACAATGTATTGTGCATGGAGGCCACTCAACTAATATTTCAGTGAATGAATGAATGTTTGCATGAGAAGAAAACTTGATGTCAGAGTAAGACAAGAAATTACTAAGGTGTCTTGGTTAGAGTTTCTTGGGAGAATTCTCTCTTTCCTGGGACCTGGCATGTGCACATACACACAGCCAAGTAAATGCTATTGTGAAATTATACTTTCTTTCTTAGGTCTTTGGGTCATCCCATAGAGTATTTAAAACCCTAGGCCTTTAGCAATAAAGCCTGCTGATGTAACTTGATTATAATAGAGTGAATTTAGGCACCAGTGATATGCTTGAAATGTAACCATGAGATTGGTTTCTAAAGGATTAGTTATCATATGGTGAAATAACTTTTTGTCCTTGATATGATAAGGCCACCTGCCCCTGTAATCTAGCCTTCTTGATAAGAATGGGGATTCCATGCAGCAGGTTTCTTTAAGGAGGCCCTCTGCCTATCTTCCTACAAAAGCCTGAGGCAACAGTACAAGCAGCCACCATTGCACCTGCTGAAACTGCTCCTAAAAATGCCCTCTCTCCTTCCACAGGGCAATAAAGAACTCTGTTTCTCCAGGGTCTGCACCCAACCCTTATCTAGAGTGAAAAGAAACCATAACCCTTAACTCTCCTAGGGATTGTGACACCTCCCCTCCCTTTCCCCTGTGAGTCTCTGGGAAGACAGATTTGTTTCATTATGAAAGCCTTTGTCTCTGTGCAAAAGGTCTGTTCTCCCAAAAGAAAAGGTATTTGCTTTGGTTTCTCCTGGAACTAGAAAATCAGTCCTTTATTAAACTAATGTGCAAAGGGATAAAGTCACAGTGGCCATGACCTCAAAATAACATCAGTAAATATTTACTGGGTGTAAAACACTGTGCTAGCTGCCAGGAGGTAAGAAAAATGGATTGCTTTCCAAAGATCTTAATAAACATAGACTCATCTATAAAAAAAATTAATTACTATAGCACCTAGTTGAGCCCATTCTTTCATGCCCACACTGGAATCCCAGGACAGATTTCTGAGAGGATCCTAACATTCCTGAATGAAATGGTAAATGAGACTTTTAATTGATGGATAAATCCTGAGAAAACAGAATCAAACAACAAAAAGGAAGAGATGAATCCTGTTCTGGACCCTAGAGAGAGTAAGGATGGTGGGAGGATCAATACTCACCCTCAAGTCCAGGGGAGTTTAGGGACATGAACCTCACTCTGTGGGAGGACACAGGTTTGTATTTGGTGAAAAATATTTTGAGTAGGATGCCAGGTATTATCACTTAATTAAGCTCAAGCTTCTGGAAACTTCTGAACCTCTCAACTTCATTTTCCACTCTTGAATCCTGATAAGGAAAGTGCCTTTTAATGGAATAAGACATTATAGTGTACCAGGTCAGTTATATAATTGGGAGGCTTAGTTTTGTCTAGGAGACTCCTGACTGCCCCAGAGGGTAAGGACTCTCATCATCATCATTTTGCAGATGAGCAAACTGAGGGGGAGGAGTTAAGCAATCTGCCCACAGTCGGACACACAGCCAATAGGGGAGCAGGGCTTCAAACCACTCCTGGTACTATATTATTGGCCACTATATTATTATACTACTTGCCTCAAGAAATATGAAAATAAGCTTAACCAAAAATCTAATTAAGAAGTAAATTTTCATTAGTCATTCAACATTTAAGTACCTACTAAATGTACCTACTAAATGCTAATACTAAATGCCAATATGGAAGGACAACATTAATTTTTTTATCTACATCAGGTAATCTATGATTTTTCAAATAACTATCTTGAGACCAAAAAAACCTATAATTGTTAGTAATTTTCACTCTTTTCTGGCCCTTTTGGGAAATTTGATTTATTAGGTTAGGAAGTATTTCTAAGTCATTTCTAACAAACTCAGTGGATTATTATTAACCAGTGATTTTCTTATTACATCTGAAGTACACACAGTGGAAGAAAATAAGGCAACTGCAATATTTTTCCACCTTTTATTTAACTATATTTGTCAAGATACCGGCAAACCTTTGGAGCTCCCTTAACAGCATCTGGACACCAGCAAGCTTGCCATTCTTGCATTCAAATTCTGCTGAGTCATTGGGGGCCTCCAAGTAGCAAATCTTTCTTTGTTTATGGATTTAAAAGATCAGTCAACAGTACAACTCATTCATGATATTTCAATTAAAAACTTCAAAGAAAAGTTTTTAAAATTAGAACCAAACTCCTATAAGAGGAGGGAAATTGACTCTGCTCTGCTCCTAAGTTCTCATCCAAAGAATCAGACCTGAAAGTCTCCAACAATTCCACCAAAATATTTCCCTCTAGCAGCAATCAATATTATAGGGCAGAAAAACTGTATCGTGGGGACTTTGATGTCTATGTTTGAGGTTTGTTTGTTTGTTTGTTTGTTTATTTTGATGATCTTTTTTTTTCTTCCTTTTATTTCATTATATTATGGGAGTATAAATATTGTTGGGGTTACATATATTGTCCCTGCCACCCCTCCTCTCCTCTGTGCCAGTGCTTCAAGTGTGTCCAACCCCCAGTTGGTGCACACCACACCCATTATGTAAGTATACCCTCTCCCCCTCTTCCCCCCTCCTACCTGCCCACCACTCTATGTTTGGTTTTATAACAAATACAGTTGGAAAAAAGATTTTGAAAAGACATGAACTGACAGAGACTTCTAGTTTCTAGTCAGGCATGAAAGGAACTTGGAAGCTTTCACTCTATCCTAAAACAGGTAAAAAGCTGAACAAACAAAAAATCAAAACCTCTTCTTAGATCTGTCAGAGAAGGGAGGTCACAGAGTAAGCTGCTGACCTCCAAATTGGAAAGATCAACAAGCAGGTACAAAGTATCACACTTTTCCAGAGCAGAAACCCACAAGCAGAACCTCCTCAGGAGCCAGTGCTAAGGTAGGAAACTGACCTGTAATGGATGAATTGCTGAAGGCTCAGTGTGGACAAGTCTAACAGTTAAAATTGCAAGGGGTCCAGTCATAGGAAACACTAGACTTTTGTGAATTTAGTTCTAGGAGATTCACCAGGGGCTCACAATGAATTATCAAAGAAAAATTCTCTCACACTTCTAGCAGGGAGAGGGGAAAAGCAACCGTTTTGAAATACATCAGAGCACTCCATTCTTAACAAGGCCTGCCCTCAGAAGAAACTATTTTATGAGAGTTTAATCTGCTGGAGTTTTATCAAAGCCTAACTTAGCTAGGGGAAGGAAAATACTCAACTCTAGCTTTCTGCAGCCTTCTTAACTCACTCCAAGGCCAGCATGACACTAATACCAAAATCAGACAAAGACATTACAAGAAAAGGAAAGTATGGACCATGAACATAGATGCAAATATCCTCAACAAAATATTAACAAATTGAATCCAACAATGTATAAAAAGAATTATACACAATGACCAAGTGGAATTTATCCCAGGTAGGCAAGGCTGATTCAACATTCAAAAATCAATTAACATTATCTATCATATAAGCAGGTTAAAGAAAAAAATTCAGTGACCATATTAATAGATGCAGAAAAAGTATTTGACAAAATCCAACACCCATTCATAATAAAAACTCTCAGAAAACCAGGATTAGAGGATAACTTCCTAAAGTTGGTAAAGAACATCTACAAAAACCTACAGCCAATATCATACTTAATGGTGAAAAACTGAAGCTTTCCCACTTCAGGCACTTATACCATATGAGGAACAAGGCAAGAATGTCCCCTTCACACCACCCTTGTCAACTTCGTACTCAAAGTCCTAGCTAATGTAGTAAGACAAGAAAAAAATAAATGATATACAAATTGGGAAGGAAGAAATAAAACTGTCTTTGCTTGCAGCCAACATGATTATCTGCATAGAAAATCAGAATGAATTGACCAAAAAAAAAAAAAAAAAATCTCTTGCAACTATGAACCAATTATAACAAGGTTGCTGGATATAAGGTTAATATACAAAAGTCAAGCACTTTCCTAAATACCAGCAATGAACAAGTGGAATTTGAAATCACAAACACTACCAGTACCTAAATCTTACCCATTTCTTGCTGCTTCGTGCTGCTGTGGAGACAGATGGTTCTACGGTATGAGCAGAGGAAATCCAGAAAGGTTGCTTTTCATTTATCTTGGAGCCTGTCTCTACAGCTCTGCCACATTTTCTCCTTAAAAAAACTTTTTTAAAAACACATTACCATTTACATTAGTATCCAAAAACATGAGATATTTAGTTATAATCTAACAAAACATGTGCAAGGTCTATAGGAAGAAAACTACATAACTCAGATTAAAAATATCAAATAAGAATTAAATAAGTAGAAAAATAGCCCATGTTCATGGATAAGAAGACTCAATATTGTCAAGATAGCAATTCTTTCTTAGATTCAATGTAATCCCAACCGAAATTCCAGCAAGTTATTTTGTGGATATCGACAAACTGATTCTAACGTTTATATGGAGAGACAAAAGACCCAGAATAGCCAATTTAATATTGAGGAACAAAATCAGTGGACTTCAAGATTTACTGTAAGGACACAGTAATCAAGATTGAGTGATATTGGTGAAAAAATAGACAAATAGGTCAAAGGAACAGAATAGAGAACCCAAATATAAACCTACATAAACATGGCAAACTGATCTTTGACAAAGAAGCAAAAGCAATACAATGAAGCAAAGATAACCTTTTCAACAAACAGTCCTAAATGCAAAAAATAAATCTAGACCTAGACCTTATACCTTTAACAAAATTAGCTAAAAATGAATCATAAATATAAATGTAAAGTGTAAAACTATAAAACTTCTAGAAGATAACACAAGGGAAACCTAGATGACCTTAGGTACAGTGATGATGTTTTAAGTACAATACCAAAGGTATGAGCCATGAAAGAAATAATTGATAAGTTGGGCTTCATCAAATTTAAAACTGTCTGCTCTGCAAAAGACAAGGTCAATAAAATAAGAAAATAAGCCATAGGCTGGGAGAGAATATTTACAAAAGCCATGTCTTATAAAGGGATGTTATCTAAAATATATGAAAACCTATTAAAACTCAACAATAAGAAAATGAAAATCTGACTTTAAAATGATTGAAAGACTTGAACAGGTAAATCATCAAAGAAGATATACAGATGTCAAGTAAGCACATTAAAAGATACTTATGCTTATTAAAACATCATATGTCATTAAGGAATTGCAAATTCAAACAACGAGATGCTGCTATAATACCTATTAGAATGGCCAGAATCCAGAACACTGATAACACCAAATGCTGATGAGGATATGGAGTAACAGGTACCCTCATTCACTGCTGATAGAAATGCAAAGTGATACAGGCACAATGAAGACAGTTTGGAAATTCAATTTTTTACAAAACTAAACATACTCTGACCATATGTCCTAGCAATTACTCTCCTTGGTATTTATCCAAATAAATTGAAAACTTACGTCCACACAAAAACCTGCATATGGATATTTATAGCAGCTTATAATTGCCAAAACTTGGAAGCAACCAAGATGTTCTAAGGTAAGTGAATGGATAAATAAACTGTGGTATATCCAGACGTTGGAATATTATTCAGCACTAAAAAGAAATGAGCTATCAAGCGATGAAAAGACATGGAGTAAACTACAATACGTATTACTAAGTGACAGAAGCCAATCTGAAAATGCTGCACACTATATGATTCCAGCTCTATGCTGTTCTGGAAAAGACAAAACTATGAAGATAACAAATAGGTTAGTAGTTTCCAGGAGTTATAGGGGAGAGAAAAATGAACTGGCAGGACAAAAGATTTTTAGAGCAGTGACAGTATTTGGCACAAAATACTACAATGATGAATACTTACTATTACACAGATTTCAAAGCCCATAAAATGTCCGACACCAAGAATGGACCCTAATGTAAACTCTGGACTTTGGATGCTGATGATGTGTCAATCAATGTGGGTTCATCAATTGTAATAAATGTACTGCTCTGATGGTGGTGAAGACTACGGGTATGTGGGGCCAATGGTATGTAGGAACTTAATGTACTTTCCAATCAATTTTTCAGTGAACTTAACACTGCTCTTTAAAAAGGTTTTTAATAATATTAATAATAATATAGGCCAGGCATGGTGGCTCATGCCTGTAATCCTAGCACTCTGAGAGGCCAAGGCAGGCAGATCGCTCAAGGTCAGGAGTTCGAAACCAGCCTGAGCAAGAGTGAGACCCCTTCTCTACTAAAAATAGACAGAAATTTATTGGCCAACTAAAAATATATAGAGAAAAAATTAGCCGGGCATGGTGGCACATGCCTATAGTCCCAGCTACTGGGGAGGCTGAGGCAGAAGGATTGCTTGAGCCCAGGAATTTGAGGTTGCTCTGCATTAGGCTGATGCCATGACCCTCTAACCTGGGCAACAGAGTGAGACTCTGTCTCAAAAAATAGTAATAATAATAATAATAAATATGAACCAAAAACAAAACCATAAGGGAATCTTTAAAGAAAATCAAAGCCTTCTCTATATTAGCGTCCAGGGAAAGCATACCTCAGAGGCTGCGCATTTTCACGTCCAGAATAGTGTATAGTACCCCCAATACTACTAATTATTTTTTTTTCAAATTTCAACTTTTATTAAAACTTATGGAACTATGTATTTATACATAAAAATAATGTATTCAGCTTTCATATCCCATGTTTGACCATCATAGAATCTTAAAGCTGTGGATTTTAGAATTATTCTTTCTAATTGCCTCATTTGTATAGATATGAGCCAATAAGATTAAGTGAATTCTTCAAGGTCACATAGCTCACTACTAATTATTTTTTAAGGGATAGTTCTCCTAAAGTTATGGATATTGATTAAAACTGAATACTGAAAACACTGACGCCTGGAATTGATTTGACCTGCTTAGAAGAAGGAAATCTCAGCCCTGCTAGCAAAATTTTTCTCACCAATGAATGCCCTTTCTGGAGACAGAGTTCACTCATTTCAGAGTTCTTTGTTTCCCACTGCAATTCTGGCTACATTCCATGCCAAAAATAAACCATCACTTCTAGAAAGTCTTTCAGGAAAAAACTAAATTCAGCATATTCTAGAAGCAGAAAGCATTAGTCCTCTTAGATCATTTCTTTTCAAATCTAGTCTGTATGCTGAAGACCAGAGTGCATTTTCTAAAAGAGAAAGAAAAATGTCTTTACTACACATAATAATGACAATGTGGACTAAATTTATGGCGCTAGAATGACAGAAATACATCAGATCAGTTCTGCATTTGGGGACCTGGATTATAATGTGCCGAAGCTGCCTTCCCTGCCCTGTGTCTGCAAAGGCAAAGCTAAAAGAGCAGAAAGGATGGAACTGGGAGTCGGGAGAGCGGGAAAGCCAGTGTCAATCCTGGTTGATTCCAGAGCTGTTGTGATGCTAATTCACATTTGCTTCTTCATTTGTGAACAGCACTGGTCATGGTTGTCCTACATGCCTCAAAAAACTATGTGAAAATAAGATGTTATAAATGAACGTACTCTGAGAAAACACAAATGAAATACAGACATCATACCTAGGTTTATCCAAGATGGTCCTACACAAAATAACGAAGTAGATGACATTTGCCTGAGCATGTTCACTTCCTCACTGGTGTCTCTTTTAGAGACTGCCCTCCTTGGTCAAATATCCCAGGACCAGTCCCAATCATGTTCCCTATCTGTCCTGCTATCATTTTACCCATCACCCCATGACCTCTGAATGCTATTTATTCCCTTAAGGCTAGAACACCAGGGATTCCCACCTCTCCATGGAGTCCGTGAGCCGGACGATGATCTCATGTCCATGTGATACTGGAGAAGGCTGGAAAAACATTCCTTCTCACCTCCATTCAGAGATGTCACATTGAATATTTTTTTAACATTTACCAATGCTCCAAATTTTGGTGTGTAGCCCAGAGAGGCAATTATGATAGTAGAAACTTTAGTCTACACTGGCTCACATCTGTAATCCCAGCACTCTGGGAGGCCAAGGAAGGAAGATTGCTGGAAGCCAGGAGTTTGAGAACAGCCTGAGCACAAGCAAGACCTCGTTTCGACAAAAAGATAGAAAAATTGATCATGCATGGTGGTGTGTGCCTATAGTCCCACCTACTCATGAGGCTGATGCAGGAGGATCACTGGAGCCCAGGAGTTTGAAGTTATAGTGAACTACGATGATGCCACTGCACTCTAGCCCAGGAGACAGAGGGGTACCTTGTCTCAAAAAAAAAGAAAGAAAAGAAAAGAAAAAGAAACTTTAGTTTAAAAAGGTTAAAATAATGACAATATGGTGACAAAATGAGGGTGGCATTTTAGAAGATCCAATGCCCAGTGAATGTCTTAACTCATGTGTTTTTGTCCACACTGCCATCTTGCTATCCTGACCCTATAGCTACACTCCTTGAGAAGAATTTCCCAGAGCCACGTGAGCATCATCAGAGCAAACAGGAAGCCAGGAATTTCCTTCCCACACACCCCCTTTGATGGCCAGAGGTCCTGGGTGTGCCAGAGCAGCCGTGTGAAAGAGTCGTCTGCTTCATGGAGACAGTGACTTGTCCCATTGGTTCCGTAGGCTGCTCAGCAGTACAGGGAGGCTCCCTGTACATTCTTACACACTTACATCGGTCCTCTCCTCTCCTTCTCTACCCCCAGAGAACAAATCACATCTCAGGACTGCAAGCCTAGAAGAAGAAACAAATGATCATCTCATTCAACTTTGAGACTGAACCTCAACAGAAATTAAAAGACTTGTCAAGATCACATGGTTCCTCAATGGCAAAAGAAATAGAGCAAATTGAGCAAATTAAGGCAACTCTACAATCATCATCACCTTTATTGCTCATATCTATTAAGCACTTACTACAATATTTTATGGAATCTGAGACGCCATTAATCATAAGACTCACCATTATTTTGTGAACCACCAAGAGAGAAAAATAATGCTACCAATTAAATCATGGCATCATTGATAGTAAGACATTTCAGAGACATTAAAGTGTGAGTTTCAGAATCAATGAAAAATAGTATGTATTAAGTACTCTATGTATCTAATTGCATTTAATTCTCAAAGCAAACTTCTGAGGCAGTACTATCATTTGATTCATTTTCATTCAGATGAGGAAATAAGGGCTTACATTTTTCATAAGTGACAGAGCCAAGTCAAATCCATTCCTATATCCCGGTCCGAGCCTGTAACCACGATGCTTCTTTGAGGCTTATGAGTATCTTAGAACATAACATAAAAGGGACCATGGGACAAGATCCAAGTCAATCTCAGATATGTCAGCTCTTACCTCTCCCACCTAAAGCTTTTCATTACAACAAGGAGTGCAATGATCTTTTCCCCCTGCCATATATTATATGCAAGGATGCACTTCCCTTTGCTTGTGCCCTGTTAATCTACTAGTAGTTCCCAGAGTACAGAACTCAATTCAAAATTGGCCTATCCTTTGCTCTTAAAAAGAGCATAATATTCTGAGAAGTAGTCAAATTTTCTGGGACTTGGAGGCTTATTATTCTATTCTCTCAACTTTTTTGTGTTTAAAGTTGTTGGGCTTTTTTAATTTTTATAAATTTTTGAGACAATTTTATAAATTTTTATAAATTTTATTTTTGAGACATAGTCTCACTCTGTTGCCCAGGCTAGAGTGCCATGGCATCAGCCTAGCTCATGGCAATCTCAAACTCCCGGGCTCAAGCAATCCTCCTGCCTCAGCCTCCCGAGTAGCTGGAACTACAGGCATACGCTACCATGCCCGGCTAATTTTTTCTATATATTTTTAGTTGGCCAATTAATTTCTTTTTTATTTTTAGTATAGACAGGGTCTCACTCTTGCTCAGGCTGGTCTCGAACTCCTGACCATGAGTGATCCTCCCGTCTCAGCCTCCCAGACTGCTAGGATTACAGAGGTGAGCCACCACGCCCGCCTGAAGTTTTTATAATAACACTTAAAAAATATTAGTTACAAGCCTGTCATCCCATCTATTTAGGAGGCTGAGATGGGACGATTGCTTGAGCCTGGGAGTTGGGATCTAGCCTAGACAACATAGCAAGACCTCATCTCTAAAAAAAAAAAAATCAGTTACAATATTGTATGACAGTCGTCAGTATTTATTAAAACTTTGCTATTTACCAAAGCACTAATCTTGCTTAAGATCACATACCTAATAAAAGGCTCAGTCCTAAAATGCATCTACAAGACACTGCATTTATAGCAAAGAGGGTAGCATACTCTTTCTGAGACTTCATAGAACAAAAGGTTTGAACAAAGTCTTGAGCAGAAATAAGTGGTTTAATGTTAGAATGGAATGAGAAAGAAAACTATATGTACAAAGACAAAAAGGACCAAAGAGTCTTTAGGAAAAGACTTTAGGAAACCACAAGTGGCAATACCTAAGCAATATGTCACACATACTCTGCTCATAACGGAAGACCAGTGTTTCTCTGAGTCCTCCACCTTTCTAATCCGTGAATTCAGCGCACCTATTAGACATTTTCTAGGAGCTCTCTTAAGAATTGACTCACCTGTGTTCACATAGAGAACAAGCGCCTTGTCTTGCCCTCACTTGGAGTGCTTTTCTGGGAAACCTGTGTGCGTGCTCACCTTCACACACCTGCTCAGAAAACAAACGAAGCAGGCTTCACGGAAGTCCTCTCCCTCTCAACAGGCAGGGAGAACTTGGGGCTTAGCTTCTCTGTCAAAAACAAAAACAAAACAAAAATATAAGTTTGAGGGTTTAGCATTTCCATAAAGGCTAAACATTCTTAACTCATTTGCTTAAATAAAACATACGGAAAGGAGGCCTAATTATCACTAAAGCAGCAGAATCCTGACTTTTCCATGGCAACGGGCTGACCGTGCTGCGGCCGGCCTCCATGCAGCCTGGCGTCCACGCGGCCTGTGGGAGCCCCTAGGCCGCCCCGCCTGGCGCCTGGCGGCAGGAGGGGGAGCCGAGCTGGCAGGCCAGAGACAGGGAAGGGGTCGGAGCACCGGGAGAAGGGAACAGGGAGAATGAGGACTGTAAAAGTGGACTCCGGGGAAAGCGAATATTCACTGATGGGCCCACAGATGGGCAGGCCCTTGTGCTGGCTGAAGAGTTCAAGGCCAAAGTTCAACTGAAAACTTGATGCTGGAATCTCCAAATGGAAGCTCAGTCCATAGAAACCCGGACACCTTGGTCTCCCTAAAAATATTTTTAACGATTACATTGAAATAGCGTTGAACAAAGCATGCCATTTTCAAGACATTTGGCTTTATATCATATGCGTTCACAGTTCTCTCTCCCCAAGTCACTTTTCTCCCCAGCGTGAGAAAAATACGTCTATAATAACGTATTCAAGCTGTCGGCCTCCGATGCTCTTTTTTCCATTTGGAGGATGGATTGGATGGCCGGGATGTTTACACTGGAATATCCCTATTCGTCCCGTTGGTGAGCACAGTGACAGCTGCGGGAAGCCAGGCAGTCAACAGATATATCTAAAATATAAAGTTGATGAGAAGGGTGGAGTTTTCAAATGAAAGTAATTAAACTCATTAGTCAAAAGCAGAGAGGCCGGGCGTGGTGGCTCACGCCTATAATCCTAGCACTCTGGGAGGCCGAGGCGGGCGGATTGCTTGAAGTGAGGAGTTCGAAACCAGCCTGAGCGAGACCCCGTCTCTACTATAAATAGAAAGAAATTAATTGGCCAACTAATATATACAGAAAAAATTAGCTGGGCACGGTGGCGCATGCCTGTAGTCCCAGCTACTCTAGAGGCTGAGGCAGGAGGATCACTTGAGCCCAGGAGTTGGAGGTTGCTGTGAGCTAGGCTGATGCCACGGCACTCACTCTAAGAGCCTGGGCAACAAAGCGAGACTCTGTTTCAAAAAAAAAAATGCAGAGAAAAAGAAAACCCAGCCAATAGTTCATTAGAATAGAAAAGGCTTTTCTTAAAGGAAGGATAGCCTGGAACTGACAGTTAAAAATGGAATTAATTTTTAAATCATGCGAGAGAATACCGTTCCAGAGGACACCAACATAGAGGTCAATTTCAAATTCTTGGTCATGTTACATCCTACAGTATCACGCGTATTTTCAGTGTATCCTTTATTCATCAGTTCACACTTGGTCTGTGCATTTTTTCACTGTGTTGAACTGATGGGTATCTATAAACTATGTAGTACAGGGATGACTTTTTTCCTCTGGACAGATAAAGTTTACAAAACGTTCTGGAGACTCATTCATTCAGGCTCAGAAACAAAATCTTAACTCTTGGGCTTTGAGGAATTTAGGGCTTCCTTAAGAATCAGTTGTGCCACTTTGCCCTACTTAGCCCATGGGTGGGCTAACAAGGCCAGAAGGGGTTGGGGGTGGCAGCAGAAACCGCCTGTGCTGAGCAGGCACTTCTCACTCAATCTGCTTAATTTATTTCCTTTGTTCACTCGGTTCTCCTAAAACCATCATCCCAGGCTCCTTGCTGCAAAAATTGCCAAGTCATGAGTGTTAAGTCATAAAAAGTTGGATGCTCAACTTTTCTGGCTTTATAGGTGTGTTTGTTTGCAGACATGCAGCATGAAAGACAAGTTAGCTACGTGTCATTTCTTTGACCTCCAACTCCCAGATTGTAAACCAGCCCCCCACACACTTGCCCAGCTCTTCTCTTACAACCACCTCTGCGTAAGGAGGCCTAGGGAGGAAGAGAAAGACAGAGGCAGCGTGCACGCACAGGCGCACAAACACAAAATCCGGCTTCCACGGGGACCGCAGCCTGCCGCACAGTGGGAACCGAGAGACACACGGCTGCCCGAGTAACAGATGCAGGTTTCCCGTGCTCCAGTTCAGCTGGGAATGCAGGCTGCACAGCAGAAATAAATCACATGGAACTTGCTGTCATCTCTCTACCTTCCTACTAAACCCTTCGACACTGCCGCTTGACTGGCTGGAGTCGCCGTAGTTTTTAAATGAAGGCATTGGCAGCACTGCCTAATTTTTAGCTAATACCTTTGTGGATTCTGCGTTCGCATCTGGCCAGTGCCATCATGCTGGGTATGATTATAATAGGCTGCTGCTCTTTCCCAAGCAGGAAGCTGGAGTCCTGTAACCGACAGCCTAAACAGAGGCTTGTTCCAAACACAACAGCACATCACAGCCAGGGAAGGGTCTGCCATGCGGGACTTCTCCCAAGGCATAAAAAAAAGAAAGAGAGAGAGAGAGAGAAATGTGTTAACTGTGCGAACAGTGCCAAGTAATATGCTTCGTTAAAAATTTAATCACCTACAAGTGCAAAACAAGTGCAAAGCAATCATGTTGTAATTAGCACAGCAATTAACACCTCCCTTTTCGATAGCACATGCATCCTAGGAAGGGCAGGATTGCAAGTGTTTATGCTGCTGACAGGCTCGGTTCCTATAGAGAGGGAAAAAATTGCTTAAATAGAATATTTTGGTTTCTGGCATTTGGGCTCTTATGTGTTCATGAAACCTCAGAACCAGCTGCCATTTTGGTTTTGTGCAAAAGTTGTTCTGCTGTGTGGTGAAACTAACCAACTTCCGCATTTTATGGGTTGTCTAAAGCTTCTTTTTATTATCACCTTCCTACTTTCTAACATTAAAACATAAATAAGTCAGTATTAGGGCCAAAGTTGTCATGCACATCAACATGATCTGCATGCTAACTGGTGCTTCCTACCAAAAGGAAAAAATAATAATAATTGTCTTCCTCAGTCCTTTATCAGAAACAAATGAAAACAAAATACTCAATGCCAGGATAAATGACTACTGGGAATATTGCCCTAAATGACTACTGGGAATATTGCCCTAAAAGTATTTCTTTTATCACTTCAGAAAACTTAGTGTCTTCTATACCACCAAGACCCATCTTAGAGACTAAGTGTTGGTTCTTTAAGGAAGTGGAGTAAGGAAGCATGGTGGATGGTTCTCTCCACCACCCCATGTCAAGACCAACTCCAGTAACTTGTCTAGCTACAACATGGCCCCGGAGCTGTCTAACATAGCCTGGGAAGTACCTACGCAGCATGTCCTGCCTACTAACCTGATTTATAGATACCCCAGAGCTCATCTCAGTACATGGAGATTTGTGGGTAAAACAGCTGGGAAGATTGAGCAAGTTGTCTGCAGTACCCCACTGAAGAAAGAGAGTTAAGATATGCTTTGACTTTCCATTCTGTCTCATGTCTCTAGCCCAAACAGATGAAGGCACGTCGCAGTGGGCAGTCTGAGATGCCACTGTTTGAAAATTCATCCAAGGCCCCAAAGTTCCTGCCATAGTTTTAGAAATGACTCACTGCGAGAATGGAACCTAGCTAGTGAGTCTAAAACTTTAAATGTATTTGAAAAACATTTTACAAGGAAATCAAAAAAACTTATGAAACATTCAAGGATTTAAGAATTTAAGAAATACTATGAGGGAAAAGCAAATTACATCTTTAGGATGAATTTGTTTTATTCTCATTGGTCGTTGACAATGGAATGAATGTGTTTTAAGGAGCAGGGAACACATCAGAGTGTGATGTTTGAGGAGCAGAAAAGCGGTTCCCCAAGCTTTACATTTCCATAGTTGACTTTGTAACAACATTGCTAAGATATGCGCAATGAAAAGCAAGAGTGTAGGAACTGGCTAACAATCCAACATTATGCAGTCTGCAGAAAGTACGGGCATTCATAGAAGCCATTCACTTTCCTGGTTTGCTGTCTCCTTTTCCCAGCAATTCTTTTGTTCAGGCTCAGAAGCCCATCCTAAAAAGCTGAGAAAAGAAACCTCAGTGAGATAGAAGACACACTTTATAAGTGGGGCAAACTATAATGAAAAATTCACACTGGAAAACTCAGTAGGAAGTAAAATGAAATCCCTGTCTCAAATACAAAGAGGACAAATGTCTTATTATGCTAAAAAAGCCTCAAATTAAGTGTGTAGAGCTACTTGGAATAGACAGTTCCCATAGTCATAGTTTTTATTCATTCCTACCAAAAAAAAAGTCTTTTGAGACCGGTGTCCCTTAAATATTGCTATCATTTGCAAAACTGGTTGAAAATGTCTGGCATATCGTAGCCTTAATCCAAAGACCCAGATGACATAGTCCTGCATTTTCATTTATTTCTAATAAATACTTTGTCTCTGCTGCTTAATTTTTATTTTCTCTTATATCAGAAAGGCTTAAATGCCAGAAAGTTTAAAAACAAAGTCATTGTGCAACTTTGGTAATCTTTTCACCTTACATACTTGCTAATTCATTTAATAAAAAGTACTTACTATGTGCCAGGCCTTGATATAGGACTAGGCATTCTATACACTATAAAAACAGGTTAATGACAACAACAAGAAAAAATAAGGACACCAGGGCTCTGAGCTCCATGAGAAGCTTTTTTTGCTACCATATTCCCAGGGCTTCACACAGAGCCTAGTAAACCTCAGAAATCTATTAAACAAATGAATGAATCACTCAATCAATCAATAATCAACCAATCCCACTATAAGCTGATAGCCTAGAAGTTGGTATATAAATATGTGTAACACAACTTCTAAGTTGATGAGTACCCTGAGAAACAGACACATTAAGTGCTAGAGGAGGTGGAGAAATACTTCCATTTTGGGTGCTGAAGGGAGAAGACAGGGTGAGGATGACAGGAACAGCAGGTGTGAGTTCAGCAGGAGCATGGTGTCCCTCAGTGGGAACAATGTCGAGCAATACTGGAAAGGTAGGTGGAGGCTGATCACAGAAGCCTTGAATGCCTGCCAAAGAAAATTAAGTTCAGAAAGAGAAGCCAGTACAGGGAGATTAATCTGGCCACAATGTGTAAAAGTGATTAGACTGAAAATAGACTGGCAGCAGGGAGACCAATTAGGGAATTACTGGGATAGTCCAGGCAAAAAAAAAAAGTTTACCTGAGCTGGGTAAAGGCAGTGTGGAGTGTGGATGAGAATTAGCGAAGTTCTAGCAGAAGCTGACATATGAAAACTGGGCCATGTCAAAAACCATGCTGAGGTTTCAGTGCTTGGTGGCAGAGAAGGTACTGGTTCCACCACAGAAATTAGGAAATCAGAAACTAGAGCCTTTGGAGAAGATAAGATTAAGATTTTGGTTTTAGATGTACCAATTTTTTTTTTTTTTTGAGACAGAGGCTCACTCTGTCACCCAGGCTCGAGTACAGTGGCACCATCACAGCTCACAGCAACCTCAAACTCCTAGGCTCAAGCAATCCTCCTGCCTCAGGCTCCCAAGTAGCTGAGATTATAGGCACATACCACTACGCCCAGCTTTTCCTTTTTTTCTTTTTTGTAGAGACAGGATCTTACTATGTTGTCCAGATTGGTCTCAAACTCCTGGCCTCAAATGATCCTCCCACCTCAGCTTCCCCAAAGTGCTTGGATTACAGGTGTGAGCCACCATACCCAGCCTAGATGTACTATTTTTATAAAGGATGGCTGGAGGCCGGGCGAGGGGGCTCTTGCCTGTAATCCTAGCACTCTGGGAGGCCAGGGTGGGAGGACTGTTTGAGCTCAGGAGTTCGAGACCAACCTGAGCAAGAGCAAGACCCTGCCTCTACTAAAAAGTAGAAAAATTAGCTAGATGTGGTGATGTACGCCTATAATCCCATCTACTTGGAAGACTGAGGCAGGAGAATCGCTAAGCCCAGAAGTTTGAGGTTGCTGTGAGCTAGGCCGATGCTACGGCACTTCAGCCCAGGTGACAGAGACTCCAACTCAAAAAAAAAAAAAAAGAAAGAAAAGAAATACTACCTAAAGGGTGGCTGGATATTTGTTAGCAAAAATGAAAGGCACCTAAAAATGTCAAACTTAAGCTTAAGACAGAAGTCAAAACTGGAGGTAAAAACAAAAATTTAGGATCCTCTGCACATAGTTTTGGGATCAGCCATGTGGCTGAAGCCATGAAATTGAACGAAAGAGAAAAGAAAAGTAAGGATAGACCTTGATGACTAGCTAAATGCAGAAGGAAGAAAGGATGCCAGGGAGGGAAGAGGATAATTCAGAGCCACGAAATCCAAGAAGAAGAGAATTTCAGAAAGTTCATGGTGCCAAATACTGCAGAGAGATGAAAATAGATGTGAGCTGAGAAAGGCCAAGGGAACTGACCGCCCAGCAGTGACTGATGAACTTTGAGAATGCAATTTCAATAGACTGGCCCAGTCAGCAGACCAACTGCAAGGAATTAAGGGTGGAAAGGATGGAAAATCAGTGGAAGCACAGAATACAGATAATGCTTTCAAGAAGACTGGCATTTAGGGGAAGGAAAAAATAGGAGACTATCTTAGGAAAGCAAAGGTCAAAGGTCAGCTTCCTTAAGACTAGTGTGTCTCAAACTGAAGGAGGGTATTTATCAAATAAGATTGAAGATACGAGTAGAAAGGGATAATTGGTGGAACAAGTTTTCAGAACAAACAAGAGGAATGTGATGTCCCGGGAGCCACAAGGGCGACTAGAACTCCAGAGAACTAATGTAGAATTTCTTCTTCCAAGGCAGTAGGAAATGAAGACAAACATAATGAAAGGAAATACTGAAGTGAAAAAAGAGAAATTTTGAAACACTCAACATTCTCCTTAAAACAGGAGGAACAGGAGGAGTCAGTTAAGACTTCTACTTCTGGAAAAATGAAGAAGGAGACATACTTTTACCTATTCCTCCTGCTAAGTATAACAAAAGACCCTGGGCTTTATATATGAAACAAACATCAGAAGAGTCTGAAAGAAGGAGAAAGCAGATCAGCTAAGAACCTCAGGATCCAAGAAAAGATATAGTGTTGAATTTCATGAATTTTCTTTTTGCCTCTATATATGCCCAATTTGGAGCTAAGAAGTTAATCCAGAAATTCCAGCAAACACAGACAAACAAACAAATACAAATTGAGCACCAGGAAAGGAACAGCCTAGAAAGGCAGAAAAACTTTCAAACAGTAACTATCCCAGTCCAATACAACACTACAAAACATTTGAGGCTCTACCACACTCACTCCAGCAAAGGCCAGATGGAAAGCCTAGACTTCCACCCTCATGAGGCTGTAACAAGATTTCCAAACATATCCACAGGGATGGTAGAACTTGTAAAAGGCCAAACAGAGAGGTGGAACTTTCATCCCCATAGGAGGTTTGATATCAGTGGAGGCCACAAGCGGGACAGCAATAGGCAGTCCTATGCTCCCAGCCACATAGCTAGCAGTGGAGGTCTAGTGTGGAGCTAAAACTCCTAGTCTCTTCCAGCACTAACAAGGACCCCCTGGACTTCTACCCCTATCTAGCAGTAATGAGGAGTTATCCTCTCTTCTACTGTTATGGAGTATCAGAAGAAGGCAGCTAAAACAGGTTTAAATAAGATCCAGTGTCTCATACCATAATACCAAAAATGTTCAGGTTTCAACTGAAAATCACTCATCATACCAAGAACTAGGAAGATCTCAAACTGAATGAAAAAATAAAATATAATCGATAAATATCAACATCAAAGTGATAGAGCTATTAGAACTATCTGACAAAGATTTTAAAGAAGCCATCATAAAAATACTCTAATTAGCAATTACAAACACACTTTGACCAGATGAAAATATAGAAAATCTCAGATAAGAAATAGAAATTCTCAGCAAACAAATAGAAAATATGAATATAACCCAAATGGAAGTTTTAGAGCTGAAAAATGCAATAGCCAAATAGAAAACTCATTGCATGGTCTCAATAACAAAATAAAGGAAGCAAAGGAAATAATCAGAGGACAGAAACAGAACAATGGAAAGTACCCAAACAGAACAACTGGAAAAAAAAGTTAACAGAGACTAAGAGATTTGTGGGACTACAACCAAAGATTTAAGATTTGTGTTATAAGAGTCTCAGAGAGAAAGGAGAATGAGGGCAGAGCTGAAAATGAAATAATACTGAAAACTTCCCAAATAAATTCACACCAAAACACAACAAAGTCAAACTCCAGAAAACTAAAAGCAAATACAAGTTCTTGAAAGTAGCAAGACAGAAATGGCACCTTACTAATAGGTGGACAAAACAATTTAAAGACAGCAGATTTCTCATCAGAAATCATGGGTAAAAAAAAAGAAAGAAAGAAAAAAGAAACCATGGAGGCCAGAAAAAAGTGGCACGACATTATACAAGTGCTGAAAGAAAAAAACTGTCCATTAGAATCCTATAGCTAGCCAAGACATTCTTCAGAAATGAAAGGAAAATCAAGGAATTCTCAAATGAAGGAAAATTAAGACAATTTGTCATCAACAGACTTACATTAACAGAATGGCTAAAGAAAGTCCTCCAAGCAAAAATGAAGCAAACAAGAAGGAAGAAAGAACATAGTAAATATTTTAGTATATGTGCTACCAAAGCAAACACAATAGTAAATATTAATATGGGTAAATACAGCAGCCTTTCTTTCTCCTTCTGAGTTTTCTAAATTATGTCTGATGGTTGAAGCAAACATTATAACACTATCTGATGTAGTACTAAATGTACATAAAGGAAATATTTAAGACAATTATATTGTAAAGAGGGAAGGTAAAGAGATGTATAGGGAGGCCAGTTTTTTACACTTCGCTCAAACCAGTACAATGACAACACCAGTGGGCTGCAATAAGATTTACATATATAATTCAATACCAAGAGAAACCACTAAAAACATAAATACAAAGAAATACATTCAAAATACTATATCTCTGAGAATGGGGCTTTCAAAAACAAACAAAAACAAAAGAGATATCTATAGAGAAATCCAAATGGAATTCTAAAAAATGTTCAAGTGACCCAGAGGAAGGCAGGGAAAAGAAAATAGAAAGAACCAAAAACGAAAAAGTAAAATGGCAAACTTAAGCTCTCACACATCAATAATTACATTAAATATAAGTAGTCTAAATATAATAATTAAAAGGCAAAGATTGGCTGGGCGCGGTGGCTCACGCCTGTAATCCTAGCTCTCTGGGAAGCCGAGGCGGGCGGATTGCTCGAGGTCAGGAGTTCAAAACCAGCCTGAGCAAGAGCGAGACCCCGTCTCTACTATAAATAGAAAGAAATTAATTGGCCAACTGATATGTATATAAAAAATTAGCCGGGCATGGTGGCGCATGCCTGTAGTCCCAGCTACTCGGGAGGCTGAGGCAGAAGGATCGCTCAAGCCCAGGAGTTTGAGGTTGCTGTGAGCTAGGCTGACGCCATGGCACTCACTCTCGGGCAACAAAGCGAGACTCTGTCTCTAAAAAAAAAAAAGGCAAAGATTGGCAGAGTAGATTGAAAATATGACCCAACTATATGCTGTCTACAAAAATGCATGTCAAATATAACAATTTAGGTAGTTGAAAGTGAAGATGGAAAATGATATTCTAAGAAAACAGTCATCAAAAAAAATCAGGAATGACTTTATTTATATCAGATAGAGTAGACTTGACAGCAATAAATAAATAAGTTTACTAAAGACACAGAAAAGCATTATATAGTGATAAAAAGAGTCAATCACCAAGAAGACATAGCAATTCTAAATGCATATGTACCAAACAACAGAGCTGCCGCATATGTGAAGCAAAAACTGATAAAACTGAAAGAAGAAATAGATAAATCCACAATTATAATTGGCATCTTCAGCATCTTCTTTCAAAAATTGATAGGGCATCTAGAAAAAAATCAATAAGGATATAGAAAACTCAATGACACCATCAAACAATAGGATCTAATCAACAGTGACAGAACACTATACCCAACAACAGCAGAATACAGGTTTTTCAAGTGCTCAG